CTTTACATATCCAGTCATTCACCCATTCACACACACATTCACACACTGGTGATGGCAAGCTATGGTAGTCGCTCAGTCACTTGCCTCAAATTTGAAAGAAGTTAAACTTGGGTTATGCCTACTTTCTATCCCCAACTTTTTCTTCACCCATCATTGGTTGACTTTCTGTGGTCTGTGGTGATGTGATCACCTCATCTCTGCACACTTCCTGTGTGAACTCCCTTTAGGGAAAAAAAACTTACGAGCTCATGACACTTAAATTTAGGTTTCCATTTAGGGCTACAACCACCTTCCATTGCTTCATGAACCAAGTGCCTCCAAACTCCATATGCAGCCACCTATTTGGATGATGTCATCATTCATAGCAACAGTCTGGAGGAGCGGGGATGAAGTCTTTGAAGCAACATGGGCTCAAGGCCAAAGTACAGAAAGGTGTATTTAGAAAGAAATACAAATGGAAATCTGGATTACATCAGTAACATACTAATTTTTAAGGTAATAAAAGGTAGCAGCAGTAATTTCACAGCATAAGTGTACTGTCTTTTTCTAATTTGCTCCTATTTATAAATCACAGACTACCAAACAGCCAACTTTGAAGAAATGAAAAGACTGACCCAACAAACATGCTCTGATAAACCAAATGTACACCTTAAAATGAAATGCATCTCTGCTGTGATGATCCACACAAAATAGATAAAACTCAGGTCTGAGAGCTCTTCTTCTGAGAAACGTTTCAGGGGACCATGAGAAGATTCATCTAAATAAATACAGAAAATCACAACTTCAGCTGATAGATGAAGTACTGGTATGCTGAATGAAAATTACCAACATTTTTTAAATACCCAACTAAAAGTTTTGTGTGTTTTCAGCCTCACTTGGAGAAAAGATCTCTTTCCATTCTGGGGAGGAGGGAGTCTCTAAAGAACTGGTGGGAAGAGGAGAAACAATGGCAGTTGCCAGTTTATAAATTTTTTTAAAAAAAAACCCTCAACGACCTGATCCACATTCTTGGTCAGACTTGGTCTTGAGGAACCTAGCTGAGGCCATCAGGAGTCAGCATGTATCATCTGCTGAGATTCAAGAGCACCCATCAACCACAAATTCCCAGACCCATCAAGGAGGCTGCACAGGATCACAGAAAGAAGCTTCAGAAAACCCTGAACACATTACAGTAGGATCTGAAATCCTCTCAAATAAGTTAAAGAAAATTGTGCTAAAAGAACACAACACATTAAGGCCCAGCAGGCAGCGAAGGAGATAAATAAACAGTTTAAAAAGCTTCTTTGGTTTCTAGAAGGCTAGGCTTGAGGGAGGGAAAATGATTTAAAAGTACAAAGATTTGGGATCTGAGCAGAGAGACGCTCAGATTTGCTCTAGTGCTTGTTAACAGCCCGACTGGCCCACAGGAAGATGTTTTTTGTGAGTCTGGAGATGTGGGACCTGATTGACCTGAGGCGCTGATCAGAGGACAGCGGGTCAAACAGGTAGTGGGTGGGGTATAAGGGGTCACCTGTGATGGCCCTGGCTTTTCTGACACAGGAGGATCTGATGATGGCCTCCAGGGTTGGCAGAGGTGGATCCATGGGTCCAGGTGAGATCAGCAGACATGTGGGTG